GCCAGGAGCAGCACCGGGAGGCAGCCATCAACGGGGACAGCTTGGCCAGCTGGGCATAGCCGCCTGTTCAAGGTTCGAATAGACTGGGGGGCGGACACTCCCGGGGGCTTGAACCTGAGACCCCGAAGGGTGTGCCCTGCCCCTCCATGTCCCTGCCCGGCTGGCCCAGACTGAGCTCCAGGAAGGCCGGAGGTGTCTACCCGTTCTCCTGTGAAGTTTGGGGGCGTGTAGGTCATGCACGCGGGCGTGCCCCCCGCCGTGGGGACCCCGTGTTTGCGGCATGCTTCATCCTAAAACAAACCCATGCGGAAGTGCCAGTGCCATTTTGGATGGAAGTCTGGGATGACACGATGGCAACAAGGGGCAGTGTGGAGAGAGGCTAAAAATATTGTAGGATTTCCGTCTGCCTTTTCCAAAGAAGAGCCAAGGCTTCCTCTGGCCTGGCCTTTCTTCCCAGAGGCTCCTCTGCCACTCAGCTCACCCAGCAGACACCTGCTGGACGGGCACCCTCTGAGCCAGGCCCCGGTGGGGGAGGGGGAAAGGTGCAGGTCCCCAGCCACAAGTCCCATGTCCCCATCCCCAGATGCTCGGCCTGGTGGCCCCCAGAGTTCTACAGCAGAACGGAGCCCAACTCACACCTCTTGGAGCCTCTGCCTTGTCACTTGTGAAGGAGGATGGGTGGCAGTAGCCAGCCCCGGGGGAAGGGCCGGGAGGATGAGGCGGACGCCAGCCCAGAGCAAGAGGGGGAAGTTACCGGGAGCCAGGAGAGCCGAGGTGACTTGGTCCACGCCCAGTTCTCCTGCTTTGGAAAGTAGGTGGGTCCTGGCGGCTGGCAGGGCCTTTGTTAAGAAGGATCAGGCTCCACACGGAAGTCTGAGGCCAGGGGACCCCGCAGAACTTTTTTGCCCCAAAGGAGGGAGATGCTGAGGGGGCAGGGCCAAGATGGTTTCATGCCGTTCGCAGGACAGAGACAGAGACAGGCAGGGAGAGACAAACATACGCGTACACGCGCGCGCACACGCACACACGCAGAATTGTCTCTGCATAGATGCGCATGAGCTGGAGGGGAACCTAAAGTCTTACAGGAATGCAGGGGTGTATGCAGGGTGGTGGGGGTGCACGCTCTCCCGTAGGCCCTCCGCCCCTGGGGGAGATCCGTGAAAGACCCCTGTCCGGAATGCTGTGGTGCACCGGGGTTGTTCAGGGAGAACACGACACAGGAACCAGTTCTGCTTTGAGGCCGCTGTTCCTGTCCTGTGTCCTCCTCCAGGAGGGGACCCTCATTTTACCCTCACCCCTCCTGGGTTCCAGGGCTGCAAGTGAGGCTGGCAGCTGGGCCATGGAGCGTCCTAGGTCTTTGGCCAGATTAGCACAAGCCTGCCTTCCCGGGGCTCACGGTGTCATGGGAATGTCACGGGCCAAGGTTTCCCCACAGGGACACCGGGAACATCTTGTACTCAGGCAGATGGGTCCAGGCTCAGGGAAAGCAGAGAATGGGGGTTGGAGGTGGGGGTAGGAAGCAGCAACAGGCCTCAGGGAGGTGAGCGTGTGTGCATGTGGGTACGTGTGTGCACACGTGCACAGGCACGCATGGGTGTGCAGACACGGGGATTGTACGTCCTCAGAGGACAGTGTCGAGCGTGGGGAGCCAGCAGCCAGGGGTGGCCCAGGGAGGCCTCCCCATGAAGAGCCATCCACCCGAGCCTACAAAGCGGGACACTTCCGCCCAGGGCACTGGGCAGCCGCAGAGGGCTCCAGGAGGGCCATGGGATGGCAGCCCCTCTGTCCGCCCCATGTTGACCCGGCTGGCCGGAGGCGCAGCTGGTGGGGAGGCAGCCCAGACGGGCCCCTCCTCAGACTCCCAGAGCTGCCGGCGGATAAAACTCGGGGACCCTGAACTTGGGGACAGACACCAGCAGCTTGGCTAGCTGCCCTCTTGTGGGGGAGCACCATCAACCAAGCCCAGCCCCCCCGCGAGCAGCCCCCAAGGTTTGTCCCCAGCAGAGATCACGGAGGCTCACGTCACAGCCAGGGGGTGCTGAGACCCGGAAATATCGTCTCGACTCCGGACTCCTCTGACGTCCAGGTGAGCACGGGCCCGTGTGAGATCCGGCGGCCGATCCACCCACAGAGACACGCGAGGCCGCCGTCCACACGCATTAGACGGGCTGGGCGTCGTGGTTTCAACAGAGTTGGTTTCCTTCATGATCTTAGGTATTTTATTGTAAAAACACTATTCTAAGAGAGGGTCCCTGGGCTTTCCAGGTGCCCGAAGGAGTCACACAGACCACGTCAAGACCCCCGAGATGGAGGGTGGGACCCCCGCTCTGTTGCACGGGCAGGGGTTCCCCAGATGAACTCTTAAAGACGATTTTCTGGTTTCCCCCAGATCGACCCCTCTGTGGCCCTCTGTGGCCCCTGCGCCCTCTTCACCATCCTCTTCATCCGCTGAGGCTGCCGGGCAGAGTGGGCGTCCCATTCCCACAAGCGTGACGCTCCCTGGCCTGCTTCTGGGTGGGTTTTTGCCTGAAGCGCTAAGGGCTTGGACTGTGGAGCAGGACTTCTCATTTCAGGCTTTCGGAGCCCCCGCGTCGGCTGGGCGCGGGTCACAGCAGAGTCCCATCCGCAGGTGTGGGCGGGGCCTGAGCTCCGGGCTCTGGAGGCTTGCCCGAGGACCTACGACAGACGAAGATGGGAACAGTGAGCCGTGTGGGAAACCCTCCACTGGAGAAGGCTCCCTGGTGGTGCGTGGACAGCGAACCGTTAACGAGTTCAAGCATTTGACAGGCTCCTTGACCTGTGGCTGGGACTCAGTGGGGACAGGACAAGTGGCCTCTTCGTGGGGGGACAGACTAGTCCTGGACTCCTGTGTCAGATAGGGTCTCCCCGGAATTCGTGCAGCCTAAGCCCCCGGGCCTCTCTTGGGCTCAGCTGTCTCCCAGGCCATGGGGTTGCTGATGTCCGAATGCCTTTCCCCACAAACAGGAACACCGGCAGAAAGTTCTGGCCCCATAACCCATTTCCACCCCGAATATTCAGTGACAAGTACTGTGGAGGGAACACGTGGAGAGATTGGAGACGGAGATGGGGGGTAGTGGAAGGACGGCAGGCCACAGGGGCAGACAGAGCCACAGGTCTACACTGGCCACAGCCAGCTCAGGGCTTGGCCTGAGCTCCCGGTGGCCAAAGTGAGACCTGATCAGGGATGGGGCTTTCATTAGAAGGAAGTTTGGTTCTTGGAGGGGACACCAGTAGCCAGAGTCCGAGGTTCTGCGGGTTTGCGGGGGTTAACCGCAGCAGGACCGTTGTCCTAACTGATGTAATCTGTTCCTGATTTTTCTCTCGTGATTTACCAGTGTGTAACAGGGTGTTTTGACGCAGATCTCCGTAAACGCTTTTTGAACAAGGCTGTGTATGACATGTAGACCCGCTCCCAGCCCAGACGATGAGCTGCTCCTTTAATTGGGCGGGGGTGCCGGGCAGCCCCAGCCGAAGCAGCCCCTGGGATCCTTCAGGACCCAGGCTCAGCACCCGCCCTCCCTGGGGCTCCAGCCTCCCCATCGCAGGTGAGACCCCACTAGCTGGCGCACGGGGCCTCCCTCCCTCCATCCAGGGCAGGATTTGGCAAAGAGCTCAGAGGTCCCTACAGACAAAGGCCACTGGAGTCCCCAGGGACCTGGGAACCTCCGATCTCCTCGTCCTTCACACCAGGAGGTAGAGACATCACAGAGGGCCCAACACCCCAGTGAGGGCAGAGCCCAGACAGGTCCCTGCCATTTCTGCCCTTGGCCTGACCCTTTTGCCTTGAGGGGACCCCACTGATAATGGTTCCCCCCCACTCCCCACCCCAGTGTTGGCTGGGTCCAGGCTTATCCGGGTTCCGTGAAGGATCTGGGAACCAAGAAGGCCGTTTAGGGAGCTCAGCCCCATCAACCCAGCCAAATGGCCATTCTCCTGGGTTCTCAGACCAGGGACAGGCTTCGGGCCCAATTCCCAGTCCCCCTGGAGGCTGGGATCAGTCACTCTTACTCTCCCAGCTGAGCCCTACCTGGGGGCTCCCCCGCCCGCTGCCGGAGCTCTTTCCGAGGGCCGAGCAGCCACAGAGCTTGTGAAGTGAGTACTTCCCCACCTCACACACAAGACCGAGCTCCGGGGGCCCTGCAGCCCCAATGCACGTGTGCATCCCAAAATGAGCCCCAGTAGACAGGAGAGGCCCGTGCAGGTGGGGGATCCCTCTGGCTGGTCCCCGGGGACTGGGGGCCCCTGTGATTTGGCGTTGGGAGAGGCATCGGCCTTCCCTCCCTGACCACCTGACTCACAGAACTCCCCAGCCCCCCTTCCATTAGGCCTGGTCTCCAGGCTGCTCTATTGCTGGCCAAGCTGATCGCTGACCCTCTGAGTGGGTCCCTTCCCTGCCGCGGTCCCAGCTGCTCCCAGCTTCCCAACTCTTGCTTCTGGGGCCTCTGGGCCCCAGTATCAGGAGGGGACCAGGAAATTGGACCCTAGGAGCACGCCCTCCCTGGGAGTGGGGAGGCCCCACCGAGGCAAGGGGACATCGGAGGGTGACAACCAGGGAAGAAGGACATCTGGGGCCTGGCGTCACAGACACGAGCTCGGGATTGGGGCAGACACCTTTATTCCACCCTCTTCCTGCCCGTGGCTGCCCCAAGTGAGGGCAGCCTCTGTGAGCATCTGGGACAGGGGCCCACAGGTCATGCTGTGGCCTCACAGGGCTCAGGTGAGTGGGAAGGGGGAAGGTGGGTCTGCTACTGACCCCCCTTGCTCTGGGAATCATTCCGGAAACCTGACTGGGCCACAGTGTTGTCTCCGTGGGTGTGGACGCTGGCGGGCTGGGGCAGGTTGGGGGTGGCGGCTAGGTCTGCTCCGTGCACACAGGGCGGACCGGTGTGCCTGATGACCCAGTGAGGCCACTGGAGCGGCCAACACACGCCCCAAAACAGAGCAGGGCGGGGGGCTCAGGGGGTGACGCTTTCTCCAACGACGACTCCGGAATGGCACAGTGGCTGGGACCCACAGCCGACTGGCCGGGACAGAGTAAAAAAAACTCTTGCACACACATACCCCCCAGGCACACACACGGGGTCAGCAGAAACTCGAGGCCCTCACACGATGCTCTGCCGACCCCCGGCCCCCTCAAACTCCGATGAGCCCGAGCCCCGGCCCCGGCCAAAGTCAATGAAGATCCCTTCTGAATCCGAGTCCACGGACTCCAAGATCTGGTCCACCAGGTTCTCTGGACTGGAGGAGGGTGGGGAGGGGTGGGCTGTGCCTGGGCCAGGCTCGGGGGACTGGGCAGGGGGGTACAGTCTGCTGGGGCAGGGCCCCGACTGGGGGCCCACAGAGGATCTCAAGGCCCCAGGGGGAGCCTGGCCAGGTGTGTCGGAGAAGCCCTGGGGCTCTGGGCAGGACGTCATCTCCGAGACGGAGTGTCTGCGGATGCCGGGGCCGCCGGCTGCTGCTCCCTCAGCCTCGTGCTCTGCCACGGGGTTCAGCAGGGGGGTGTTGTAGCTCTTGGAGCGCACCACTGGGTTCTTGGCCAGCACATCCCCTGAGCGGGAGCGGCGCAGGAAGTGCTTCTCTGCAGAAAGACAGACAGAAAAGGTGTCAGGCATGAGATGGGGGGGCCAGGGTGGGAAGTGGTCACTTGGCAAACCTAGGCACCTGAGTGTTCTAGGCCCTTCCTGGGGCCAGAATCTAGCCAGCACCTACTGTGCGCTTAGCTCTGCATGAAAGGGCAGCCACAGGGAAAAACCCGAATGGTGCAGATCCTTGGCCCAGCCCCTTGCGCACCCCTGCAAGTAAGGGAGAGTCGGCTCTAACACCGTGCCTGTCCCTATGTGACTTCTTCCTTCCTTCTAGCCTCAGCCTGGATGGGCAGGAGGTGGGCAGGGTGGGTGGGTGTGTGGAGGCACAGGGCTTGGTTCAAATGCGCACATGCCTCAGTTTCCCCACTTGTTGAAAGTTAAAAAACCTGTAGCACTTCCCGGAGTCCCAGTGTGGGGGGGGAGGGGAATAAACCACAGGTCAGGTAGTGGTTAAGTGCCAGGATGGGGGTGGGGAGGATGAGAAAGGGTCTTTTCACATGAACTCGGGGCTGGGGTTTTATTCGGAGTGTGGTGGGCACGCCGGGGGTGCAGGAGAGGATGGCCACGGGGGGCTGGACTGGGTGGGGGGCCAGATCTCAGGCTCCCACTCAGGGCCCTGCAGTTCCTAAGACTGACCACCATGTGGCAGGGCTGAGCACAGTGAGCGGCTCAGGGACCTTTCCAGGGGCAGGAGAAAGGTTCTGCCCAGTTTTCCTAACCCTAACCCTGATCCTAACCCTAACCCTAACCCTGGAGGCTGGGCTTTATGCCAACAGGCAGGTGGGCGCTCCCCAGTGGCCTCTGTGCCTCTGGCCCCCAGTCCAGAATGTTCTTTGTGCACCTCTCCCCAGGCCTGGCTCCTCCTCCCTCGGCTCACCCGTCACTTCCAGTCTGGCCTTTCCCAGCACGGCCCTCGCATGACTTGTGTGTGCGTCCCCCTGGAGACTGGTCAGGGGACTGTGTACTCATTGGTCTGCGTCCGTGACCGTGAGAGCCCATGTGGGTGGGGCCTGGCCTCTGCGGCTCCCCCACGGCCAAGAACGGGGCAGACACACAGTAGGTGCTCAGTGTACACGGGAATGAACCAACGGACCGTCTGTTAAAGGAGCAACGTGGCAGGCCTCCAGACAGGCCAGACAGCCCCAGGACACCCACCACCCTTCTCCCCTCTCCTGCAATTCCCCTGAACAAGCTCAGTTTCTTGGGCTCCAGGCCTTTGCACATGCTGTGTCCTCTGCTGGCCAACGCTTGTCTTTCAGGATTGAACATAGACGGGCCCTCACTGGGAACACAGAGCTCTGTGGGGCTTTCAGGGGAGTCATCCCATTACCATGTATGGTATCAGCCCGACAAGTCCCCTTCAGTTCTTGTAGCTGGGATCCCAGGCCCTGAGTGTCCAGGCCCGGCACACAGCTGGGGGACGCTCAAGACAGGTCTGCTGCATGACCGGAAAGCAAATCCCCAGCGGGACCTGGCTGTGGTCATCTCCTCACTGGAGGCCTGGACCCTGGGCAGAGGTGGATGGGGCCAGAGGTTACCCCGCTCCCCACCCCAGGCCCAGGCAAACCCTACCAAGGATGCAGGAATGTGTGAACGGGCCCTCGCTGGAGTAGAGGCCGTAGGTGCCCAGGTAGGGCGACACCACCTTCTGGATCAGCGTCTCTAGGCGCAAGTAGTCCTTGGTCACACCCCTGGACTCATGCACTCCCTGCAAGAGAGGAAGGGAGACGGGTGGTCACCAGACAGACAGCATGCTCCCTGACGCCCCGTGCCAGCCAGGAAAAGCTTGTCCCCCAGGGCCAGCCAGGCTCTAGTCCAGCCCCCAGGCGGCCCTGCCCCTCCCCTGCTCTACACTGATGCCCTTGCCAGGCCCTGCCCTCCTCCTCCTCCCTGACCCCCCTTGTCCAGAGCCCTGAAGGGATTTCTATCTTCTCCAGTTCCATCAGAGCCAAAGCTGGAAGAAGGCAGCTGCCTGTAGGATAGACTTGGTCTCGCTGACAGGGAGGGCAAGCTCTGGGCCCCTAGCACCCCAGCAGAGGGCTGGCACACAGCAGGCCCTTAGTGAGTGCTCACTGAACAAAGGATGGCTGAAGAAACGGGGAAGATAGCCCTGCTTGGGGGGCTGCCAGAGGCTCATGGCACAAGATGCCTTTAGAACCTTAAAATGGCAGCTACGGACAGCCTGAGCCCCCCTGCCCCAATGCCACCCATGAGAAACCCACTTCAGCTGGGAAGACACCCATGGACTATAAGCAAAGGGTTGAGGGGCGTGCAGGCGGCTCAGGCAGTTAAGGGGCTGACTCCTGGCTTTCGCTCAGGTCATGATCTCAGGGCTGTTGGATCAAGCCCCGTCTGGGGCTCTGTGCTGGGCATAGAGCCTGCTTAGGATTCTCTCTCTCATTCTGTCCCTCCTTCCAATGAATGAATGAGTGAATGAATGATAAATAAAAGCAAAGGGTTGAGAGAGCCATGCCATGCCGACGTCGGGAGCAGCTAGGTTAATTCCAGACAGGGTGGACGTCAGACCGAGGAAAGTCATCAGGGGTCAAGCAGGTCACTACGCAACTGTACAGAGGGCAGTTCTCGGGGAGGACGGAATGACCCCTAGTGTGCCTGCACCTGACAACAGAGCTGCAGACCACATGGGGCAGAACTGCTAGAGCCGAGGGACAGACCGCTCACCCGCTTGTGGGGACAGAGCCGCAGGCAGAAACTCGGGAAGGACACGGGCACTCAGCACTCCAATTGCTGTCAGACCGCTGCCCCCCGCCCACCCCGGATGCAGAAACACATGTCCCTCCCGCGGTCCGCCTTTAAAGTCAGACCACATTCTGGGCTACAAAGTGCACCTTCGCAAACTTAAAAGGATGTAAGTACAGCACCTGCTCTCAGAGCACAGCTGCATGAAGCCAAGGAGTGGGGAGCGGGGAGATAGCCGGGAGAGCCCCAGATACGTGGAGATCAAACAACTCACTCACTTCTAAGTAAGCCACGGATCCCACAGGAAATCTTTTTTTTTTTTTTTTAAGATGTTATTTATTTGCCAGAAAGAGCACAAGCAGGGGAGGCAGCAAGGAGAGGGAGAAGCAGCCTCCCCTCTGAGCAAGGAGCCCGATGCGGGACTCGATCTCAGGCTCCTGAGATCATGACCTGAGCCGAAGCCAGATGCTTCACTGACTGAGCTACTCAGGCGTCCCCCAAAGAGGAAATCTTAGCAAGTATCTTAAAATGTTTTGAATGAAATGAAAATGAAAACAGATCCACACTGATGGAACACACTGAAAGCTATGCTTGGAGGAAAACTGTAGCATCCAACGGATACATTAGTAAAGGGAAAACCTGAAGTCAGTAAGCATCTACCCCAAACCAGAAAAAGAAGAGCGAACAAAGTCCAAAGAGAGCGCAAGAGAAATAATCAGAGAGAACTCACTGAGACTGAAACAGGAAATCCTCAGGGAAAATCAAGGCAACCAAAAGCCGCCTCCTCAAAAAGACCGGGAACCTCCCTAGGCCTCCCGCCGGGCTGACCACTAGAGAGCACACGAACTCCCACCGTCAGAGCGGAAGAGGAGCCATCACTGAGCCATCACTACAGACCCCATGCCCCTGGGAACTGCCTCCGCCCCCACGATGCTTCTGCTCAGCTGGGTGTTCCATGAACTTCACGTTGTTTCACTCGCCAGCCTTGTAAAGGACGTCTGTCTCTGCTCCCCACTGCACACTGAGAATGGCGGCCCCGGGGCTGCATTACCTGTGAGCACTCAGAGGCTGAGCTGCTCCCCTGGCTCCCACAGGAGCACGGTAGCTCTGCTGGGGAAGCACGGGGCACACGGTAGGCCCTCAACACATGCTAACCAGCAGCTCTGACTTCAGGTCCATCTGGGACTCGAAAACAGTGGGGATAAGCTCAGTCAACGTGCCGGCCAGGTGGGGAGTGGGGCAACAGCGAAGGGGCAGGAGGGCAAGTCCTAGGGATGATGGGACCAAGCGGAGGAAGCTGCATGAGGCAGAGAGGCCACCAGGGGGCAGCACCGCCCCAGTCTGGCCACCAGCCTGGGGTGGGACCTCCTTGGCTCCAAATCCCTGTCCAGCCACCACAGGCGGCCAGAAGCACCACAAAAGGCTTTACATCTGATTTCTCCCCACTGTCCTTGAACCTGCCCCGCAGGCAGGAAGTCACATAGGCGAGGAAAGAGGCTGAGAGGCACAAAGTCCTTAGAGGGCCCCTGCTTCAACCCAGCCAGGTTCCCCTAAAATCCTTCCAAAACAGCGGGTCATATGGATGCCAGGATGACCACCAGCTCCTGCCCTGTGCAGTCCCTCGACCCTCAGACCTTCACATTCATCAGCACCTTCGTTGCTCTGGAATCTTCACTGGCTGCCCTGGACCCTCGGACCAACCTTGCAGACTAATTTAGGTTACCCATGTGCACGGGGGGGATGAAGAACAAGAAACAGGACTTCGGAGCCGTCAGATGTGGTTGAGGCCAGGCCTTGTTAGCTCTGGGCAAATGAGGACTCTATTTCCCACCTGTAAAATCGGGTGGATGACGGTGCCTACCTCTGTCCTTTCACAGTGGGACAAGCTGGCAAACTGTAGGGTGCTGTGCTTGGGATGCAGGAGTTTGCAAAAGGCCCTGTTTGTGGTCCATCAGACCCTCTGCTGTTTTGGGCAGGCCACTCATCCCTAGCTGCTGGGAGCAAGGCTGCCAACAGCGTGTGGCTGCCCCCTTCCTAAAGCTGCTCTGGTGGGTGAAAGACACCCACACCAGAAACATCTGGAACCGTTGTGGGGAGGCAGCCAACAGCCCCGACGGCTGACTGGTACAGGGTGTGAAGGCATAGTCCCTGCCCACTGGGGACACCTCTGGGCCCATCCACACTCCTGGGCTCCCCATGGGATGAGGCTGACGCCTGCCTTCTCTTGAACTCCCATCTCCCCCCAGCACCTTCTGGGCTCCTCCTGCTTCCCTATCTCCTTACATGTTTCTCCTGACAATCTCCCCATTGATGAGTCCTGTGGACCCAGACCCTTGCCTCAGGCTCTGCGTCTGGAAGGCCCGGCCTCACGCCCAGTGGCCTCCTTGCGGCGCCACGCACCTGCAGCACCAGCAGCATCTGCACGATGGCGGGGGGCACACGGGCGTGGGTGCGGGCCAGCGCATCCTCCAGCTTCACGCTCAGGGTGATGGCGTTCCGGAAGTGCAGCAGGGCGAGCTGGCGCACGGATGGCTCCTTGCCCTGTGGACACAGAAGGCCACGCCCCACCCCGCTGCCATCATAAGAAACTGCTGCTTCCCCGTCTGCCGATCCGGGGCCAGATCCCAGGGCTACGGCCCTACAGATCCTTGGGCCCCCTCCCACCCCACCCTCCTCCCTGGATGGCCCTGTCCCGAAGAGAGGCCCCAGCCAGCTTCCTCAGGCAAGGAAAGGGTCACTGTCACATACCAAGCCCCTACTGTGTGCTGGGAAAGACCTACTATGTGCTGCCCAGGACTTTATAGGGCCTGTGGGTCGGCGGGGGGACTGTCCTTCATTCCAAATTGTGGGTGGGAAAGCAGGTGAGGGGTCCAGGGATGTGGCCATCCCCGGGCTGGGGACAGCATGCTGGAAGGCTGGGATGGGTGGTCGCCTGGGCCCTGGGGCATCGCACGGCTGCAGGGGCCATTCACCTGCACTGGGTAGAAGATGGCCTGCAGCGTGGGCAGCACGTCACTGAAGAAGAAGTCCCACGTCTCTGCCAGCGAGTCCAGTAGTTTCTGTCCTGGGGGCACAGGAAGCTGTCACTGCTCACCCCTCCCAGGCTGGAGTCCTCTCTCCCATCCGCACGGGAGCTGAGGGCCAGGCTCTGGGCCCTGGAGGCGCCCTCCCCACCCCCCAGGTTGATAGCACGCAGCCCTTAGCAACTCTGTGGCTGGGGGTCCACGGCGTAGTCACCCTGTGCCTCAGTTTCCCCCATTAATAAAACAGGACAGTGAAAGGGCCGACCTCCCAGGGCTGTGGGGATGAAATGAGCAGAGACAAGGTCCAGGGCAGAGAAAGAGCTGGTAAGTCCTGGCTGGTTCCCATTCCTTCATCCCACACCAGTCCCGCACAGGAACACCCCCCGCCCCCGCTGGCAGCTGCCACACATAGTCCTGTCTCCTCCCAATTCCCACGGTGGCCCCCCAGCAGGCGGGCAATCTGTCCACCCATGCAGATGTTTGCAGAGCACCTATACTGGGCACTGGGGACCCAGCAGAGCCTCCAAGATCCCCAGACCCATCACAGGACAGGGAAGCAGGACCCTGAATGGCAACTAGGAGCATGACCATCTGCCCATTGAAGGGGCGACCTCAGTAGGCAGACCAAGAGATGGAGCCTCTGAGAGGTTCAGGTCCTTTTCCTCCAGTGCCCTGGTCCCTGCCAGCCCGGGCTGCCTGAGCTGGGGTCAGAGGAGCCAGGGAGACCACGTCCAAGAACAGTGCATCCCAGGTAGGGAAGGGAACCAGAGAAAGTGGAGAGGAGCAGGCAGGGAGGGCTTCCCGGAGGAGGTGCTGTCTAAGCTGATGTAGGGGGCTGGATTTGCCGGGTTGATGGGACATCCTCAGTGTGGGAACCACACAAGTAGATGTGCGGAAAACAGGCATTCGGTCAGGCTCTGGGTGTTTCTGCCAGCCCTGGGAAGGAGCCTGTCTTCCTCACGGTGGGCAGTCTCTGAGGGATGAGGACAGATGAGGTGTCCCCGAGCTGGGCCTGGACTGCCGCAGGACATGCAAAGCTCTGAGTGCTCAGCGCCCCTGCCTGGAATGAACAGAAAGCTGGGACAAAGGCCTGCTGGGTCTGGGCTAAATAAGTGCGTCCCAGGACGCGTTGCCAAGGCCCCTGCGGCTCGGTGGGACCTCCAGTGGGTGGCTGGAGAAAAACGGGGTGTGCTGGGGTCTCTGGGTGAGGGTGAAGTGCCACATCCTGGCTGGCCTCCCAGACCACAGCGCTCGTGCGGGACCGCCTCGAGGTTTCCATGGGAACCAGCGAGCCGAACAAAGGCCTTCGCCTCTTCTCCATACTTTCTTTGGGCTCTGAACCCCACACTTGCACTGCCCGTAGAGGCCCCAACTCTGTGTAGGTGTGGGGGCTCTGGGAGGGGAGCCTGGTGGGGGCAGCCCTGGGAAGCCCGTCCAGCCCCGTGGGCGGCGAGGGTGGCCTCTGTGCATGGCCGATCTGTGGGCACTGGGGCTCTCGCCCGGCGGCCAGCTCCCAGCCCTCCCCGGGGGCCCACACCTAGCTCTGTGGAACCCAGGATGGGTGGGTGCTGCCGCCCGCAGGCCTCTGTCTATACAGAGGTCCCTTTAGGTCCCCGCCGTCCCTGGTGAGAAGAAAGACGCCTCAGTTCTCTGGGCCGGCCGTGGGGTAGCTCTGGGCCTGGGCCAGGCCAGCGTCCGCAGGCCGCTCTCCAGCCCACGGGGCGGAAATGCTGTGGAAAGCAGATGTAAAACACAGCCTCGAGGCCCCGTCAGAGCTGCAGGCGACCAAGAGGCCAGGAAGCACAGGCTCGCCCACGGGCCAAGTTCTCCGCTGGGGCCTGTGGTCTAGGGCTGGCGACGAGGGCGGGGTGGGGGGGCTGTTGGGGGTGACAGCGTCAGGCTGCCCGGAGCTGGAGCCCTGCTCTGCTTTGCCGTGGGACCCTGGGGAGTCTGGCAACCAGGCCTCCACGTGACGCTCCGTGAGATGGGTGTGAACGTCCTCGCGTGCACTGGGCGGAAGGCTGCTGCGAAGCAAATGCTTACTCAGTGTTGGCCTTGGCCATGGCCATGGCCGTGGCCACCGGTGCGCCTGTGCGGGCCGCCACATCTATGCTGAAGCTCGGCAGAACTGGGCTTCTCCCCAGGAGTGTGGGTCCTCTGCCCTCCTCTGTTCTGTCTGAGCGCTGAGGGATGGGGGGACCGGAGCGTACCAGGCTGATCTTGGCTCAGGTCTCAGCCCTGCGATGACCACAGGGCCATGGAAAAGGCCACAGCAGGGGCTCCGAAGAGGCCAGCCGGCCAGGAGGTGGGCCCAATGGAGTCAGGCCTGCCGGCCAGTGTGTAAACGCCACTGGGGAGTCTGGCCGGATGGCCTGTAATGGGCTGGGATCCCTGCCGGCCAAGAGAGGGCCGAGCCCAGGGCGTGGAGCCTGCAGGAGGCCCCGGGTTCCTCCCTGGAGTCGTCGGGTGTCTGGCCGCTGAGGAGCCATCCTGGCGGCAGCCAGAGCCCACTCCTGTAAGCCCGGCTGGGAGACAACGGAACCACAGCCTTAGGCGTGGTCCGGGAGAGAGGCTCCATGGCAAGGCTGTCCCTCCAGGCCTCCCGTTTCCAGGAATTGCTGTGCTTGGGAGTTGATGTCCGTGAGGCTGAAGGCGGGTGGGCGAGGCCACCCCGGCCCCCAGCAGAGGCACAGGTGAGGCCATGGCTGGCCACAGGGAGCGATCTCAAGGAAGGGCTGCTCTGGGAGCCAAACGGGCAGAAGGTGGACAGGGCAGGCTCCAAAGGCCGCCCGTCGGGGAGTGGCGTCGGCGACTGTCCCCTGGTATAGACTGAGGCGGGCAGAATGGCTTCCCGACGACTACATTCTGAGGCCTGACTCAAGGGCCACTGCTTCCATGGAGCCCTCCCTGACTGCCAAGACGGAGCGAACCCTTCGTTCCCCACGGCTTTCCTTCACCCCCATGCCTCACACTGAACCGTCACTGTCTGGTCCGCGTCTGTGTACCCGACTGGACTGTCAATCCCTGGTGGACAGAGCCGAAATCTCCCCCCTCTCCAGGCCCCCAGAAGCTAGCTGGGGCCTGACCCGTACTGAGCACGTGGGTGGAGTCCATCCAGCCCCACGGTGCTAAGACGGGGAGACCGAGGCTGAGGTCTGTGGCTGGATGGGAAATGGAGGCCAGGACCCGTGGCCCCTAGACTGGGGCTCTGTGCCTGTCCCTGCGGCCTGGGGAGGCTGGATGGGGTGGACACGCCCCAGACGGTGGCCTGGTGACACGGCCGCTGCAGGCAGGGGCCGACTAAGCTGCACAAAGCTTCTCTTCTCCGAAGCTCCCAGCTCCCCTGGACCAGAGCTGGTAGGAGGCAGAGGCGCTGCTGGAATGTGCCGAGTAAGGAGGGGGCATGGGAAGGCACCTCTATCAGGTGCCAGATCCTCAGCACCTCGACTGCTGACTCAGTTGCTGCCTCCTCCAGGAAGCCAGCCTGGACCCCGGCGGTCTGTGCCTCTCCCTCCCCTGGACTGTGGTCCTGGCGGTCCTTCCCACGCTCCCGCCTCAGCGCTGCCCCCCGACAGAAGCAGGACGTGCAGAGAGAGCAGGGGACACACGGCTCTGAGCTCACCCAATGCACACTAGGCCACTGACCTCAGTGCCCTCCTCTGGGAAATGGGATTATACTCCTTCTTTCTAGGATCAGAGTAAGGGCTGAAGAAGGAACCAAAGTGGCAGTGGAACCAGGTTGCCGCACAGAGCTGCATGGCCTGGGTGTCTCAGTTTCCCCATATGTGCAGTGGCTGCAGTGGTATCTCCCGAGCAGGGCTGCTGGGAAAGCCAGTGAGTTAATAGTTGGAAAACACTCAGGACGGTCTAGCAGAGAGTAGGCAAGGTGCCCAGTGCCTGGTGCATAGTAGGTGCTCAGCGAATGTTCATGGAGCCTGAACTCAGCACCGGGTCTGGCACAAAACAGGCCTCAGCAAAGGCACTGTGGGCTGAGCTGGGTCCTCCCATAATTTGGTCATTCTCTCTGCCAATTCACTCCTACGAGGAGACACCACTTTGGTCGCTGCTCCCTGACCCAGGGACATGGGAGCTGGAGGGTGCTGGGGGAGGGAGGCGGAGCCCACCAGGACCCTTCCCTACCTGCTGAGGCCCGGGCCAGGCAGAGGTGCGCTGGAGCTCAGGGGCCTCCAGAAGGGCCAAGGGCATGTGCGCTGGGGTCAGACTGGCCTGGGCTTGGATGCACTCTGCTCTCTACTCAGTGCGGCTGCAGACATACCGCCTGTCATCATTACGCTGACCCTGCCCCTAGCTAGGACACGGGCACAGGGACCCAAAGGTCTCGGGGCTGGGTATGTGCATGGAAAGAGAAAACTCATCTAGAAGGTCCAGCCCCAAGCTCAGGCCCCAAACTCTGATGGGACAGCAGCTCTCAGCCAGGTGACAGCCCCCGGCTCCCACCTCCTCCTTCGGGAACATTAGGGCAACCTTGGCCCTATGCTAGGTCCCTGGTCCTCAAAGATCCTGTCGGGTTCTCCCAGGCTGCTGGAATGGGGTTCACTGGCACCAGAAGGCCCCGGGGGCAGGCTTTCCGGATTTCTCAGCCCTCTTGGGCTCCAGCAAATTGTGGGGTGGTGGCAGGAAGGGCAGACTCTCTCCCCGGTAAGGTCCCCTCCTGGAGTCAAATCGTGGCCTTGCTGCCCCTGCCGCTCTCCCACCTGGAGCCCCAGGGACACAGGCAAGGCAGGCAGGGCCACATGTCCCCGCAGGGACAGCGGCAAATCCCTGCACTCAGTCCCCGCTATGGGCCGCCACACTCACCCTCATAGAAGCGGATCTTGTCCCGCAGGATCACCATGCCTTTCGTCAGCAGCTGGTTCTGGAAAGCACACACAGGCAGGCCGTTACTGCCCTGGGGGGTGGCCTTGGGCAGGCAAGGCCCCCAGGAGGCCTCCCCCTGCCCTCCCTGCACCCCACCAACCGGCAGCTGAGGCCCAGGGGGGCGGGACTCACCCATTGCCCCCAACCTCCCCCCTACTCAAGCAGAGCTTGAACCCTGGCTCGCGCTGGGAAGACACTGACGGCCGGTTCCAGGTGTGCGTGAACTCTGCAGGCTCACTGGCCAGAGGAGGTGTGACGAATGCAGCGTACGGCAGGGCCTCGGCCACAGGGGCCTCAGGATGCTGACACCAGGCCAACAGCATCACTGTGTGCTCGGGGAGTAGGGGCCCTGCAGTGACGGGGACATCTGGAAGCCCACTCTGTGTTCCGGGAGGTGAACAGCCCGGAAAAGAACCAGCCCCCCGTCCTGCCACGTGTCAGGGCACGCACAGCGTGCAGACTTCGCCCGCATCATTGTCATTAACCTGCCTGACAACCCGCACCAGCTGGACAGGGAAACTGAGCCACAGCGGTGCAGCAGTCCTTGGAACCCAGCACACTGTGGACCCACGGAGAGGAGGTGACCCCAGTCCTTTCCGGCCTGCTTGGAAAGCAGCCCCAGCCCGCTCGAGAGCACAGACCACCCACCTGCAGGTACTCGGTGAAGAACGACCCCAGCTCTGTCTTCAGGAGTTGCCTGTGGGAGGGAGGGGACAGGACAGTGAGGGACGGCAGGGCTCAGAGACCAGGTGGCGCTGATGGGGGGTCACCGGGGGCAGCAGGAGGCCGACCTGCTCAGCCCAGGGGGAAGTGTGGGCATGCCCCCACCCCCAGTCCCAGTGCAGGGGGCAGGCGGGGAGGGAGGGCTGGGTGGGCCTCAGGCCTCTGTGGTGTTCAGTGGGGCTCTGTGGGCTCCCGCCAACACTGCACACGAGAGGAAGCTGAAGGCTCTCATCTCTGTCAGCCTTGGAGCTGTGTGTGTGCATGCACACGTGTGTGTAAGCATGCACGTACACTTGGGGGGGCACCAAACTCACCATCCCTCAACCCCACTAAGAGGGTGTGCTGGTCCTCAAAGGCCTTTTCAGGTGACTACACTCTACCCTCCTGGAGGAGCTGAAAGCAGGACTACCCCCCCAGGACTGGCTGTCCCCAGTGGGGGTGGTGGGGGTGTGGGCCTAGGGGCTAAATGAAGCAGAGAGACAGAGGGCAGGTGGCTTGTGTCGGTGACTAGCACCCAGCACCGAGCAGCTGGCATCCCCAGAACCTGGGGCTTCAGGCAGGATCTAGAAGGTGCAGAGACGATGGCATGGGGACATGAAGAGAGACACAGCTGGACCAGGCCGGTCACAGCCCGAAGCTCACGACAGCCTGACGATGGTCCTGGTGTCCCTGGGTGGGACGGATGGGGACCCCGAGGGTCAGAGCAACTGCGGCTGTCTGGGGGCAGCCCTAGGACCCCGTCCCGCGCCCCTGGCACCCTGTCCTACACCCCTGGCTGGCAGCTTCTCTTAGCACAGGACCAACCCCATGTCATAGCCCGACGCCATCCCCGCGTCACTATGACGTTAACAGTGGCCACATTCACCAGGCTGATCTCCACCTGGGACAGCAAGGGGTTGTGAAGCCAGTGGCCCCTGTGGTCAGCCCCTGCCACGGTCCCTCCACCTTGTCGCAATCGTCTGGGCTTCCAAGGACCGGATGTGACCTCAGCTCACATGACCTCAGCTGTGTGACCCCCATGTGCAGGCTCAACGTCTATCTCAGGTCACCACATGTGTGACCCAAGGGGCCACTATGGACATAGCCAGAGAGCAAAGGGCAAGGAGGGATCAAGGCTGAGCCTGGGTGAGTCCCCTCCGCCCGTCAGGGGCCAGAGAGGCAGCCCCAACACTGCCTGTCCACCGTGTGACTCTGGGCAAGTCCCCGCCCCTGCCTGAGCTCCGGCACCCTCCTCTGGGACCAGAGACATGCCAGGAGGTGCGGAGGAAGGTCCGGGCTGTCAAGTGAGACCACGGCTTACCCTTGGTGTGTGCAGCAGGTGCTCAGTAAAGCCCTCCTTACTCTCTCCCTGGCCTGTGGTTAGTGACGGTGAGTACGAACACGAATGAACGAATGAATGAATGTCTCCTTCAGGGCCGAGCAGACCCTCTGCCCCACTGCTGGCTGCCTGGGGCTCCCCACACCTCCCGATATTTCCTCTTGACTCACTACATGAGCCCCTGAGCAGGGGTGAGGGGCATGGCTAGGCAAGCATCTCCCAATTTGTGCTGTGCCCGCTGGCTCTCCTGGCTGCTGGAGGGGAGCCACGCTCATTCTACAGATGTGGAGACTGAGGTGCTGGGGGGCCTGCAGGTTAGGCGGCTCCTGTATCCGTAGGGGAATGCCCAGGCAGCCTAATCACCCCAGGACACCACCTGGGGAAGGCACTGCTGGGGGAACAGCCCGGGTGTCATCGGAGGGGAGAGGGACAGCCACAGAAAGGGGCTGGGGGGTGGGGGGCAGAGGCCAAGGCCAGGGCCACCCTGGCCAGACGGGTCTGGTGGCTTCTGGGAGCCACAGGGCCAGTGGATCTGCATTCCAGAGCCCAGAAGGCAACAGGAGGGGCCTCTCAGGACAGAGCAGGTAGCTGAGCTCTTGCCCACGAGCTCCCACGCAATTCTCCTGGTCCCCGGGCAGGTCAGGAGCTGTGCCATCGAATGCTGGGGGCATGGTGTGCCTGGAGGGGTGTCCTCTGCAACCCAGAGTGACTTAGTCTGGGAAAACTATTATGCAAAGTGTGCCTGGTTTGGGGGCCTTTGGAGAAGCCGGTCAAAGGAACGGGTCAAGAGAGAGGCTAGACCAGCACCCTGGATGTCACCAAAATCGAACCTTCACGGTTCGGAGAACACGGCCAGGAACGTGCGAAGACAAGCCGCGGAGCGAGAGCAGCTGAAGGCCCAGACGCAGAATATATAAAGAACTCCTGCGCTCCTGCGACTCAACCAGAAAGAGATAAGTCATCGCATTTATAAATGGGCCAAGGAGACACTTGCCCAAAGACGATCTGCAGATGGCCAACCAGCCCATGAAAAGATGTTCCCATCCTAAGTCATCAGGGAAGTGCAAACCCCAGCCACGAGAGGGCTCCTCATGCCTGCAAGTGCCATTAGAATACAAGTTCCCGAAAGTCAAGTTGCACGTGCAGGGAAGGTGGGGGCACTGGCCGCGGGCTCCGGGGTGGGAAGCGAAGCTGTGCAGATCAGCGGGGCAGCCCCTACCCCGCCCTGGGGGTGGCCCCAGGAGAAACGAAGCCACATGTCTGCAGGTCACAGGAAGCCCTGCGGGTTCACAGCCACGGGCGTGTCACGGCCGAGGGGGCAGCTCTCAGCAGGTGAACGGGTACAGGGAATGCGGTTTCCCTAGCGTGGAACAGTATTTGGCAGCGAGAAGGAATGAGGTGCAGGCACGGGCTCCGACGCAACAAGCTTGAAGGCGTCAGGCGACACGGAAGCGGCCGGCACAGGCCGCACACACACCAGGTGATCGCACGTATGCGAAACGTCTAGAAAGAGGCAAATCTACAGAGACGGACGCTCGACTGGCCTTTGTCAGGGGCTGGGGAGTGACTGTTAATGGGGACGGGCTTTTATGGGAGGGGTGGGGAGTGGGTGAGAATGTTCCAGAATCAAACAGCAGTGAGGACTACACAACTCTGAATGTGCTAAGAACCACGGAACTGTACATCTGAAGAGTGAATTACGTGTCGCTGTGCACACCTATGTGTGTACATGAAAACGGAGGGAAGAAAGGGTGATGGCCCGACGTCAGGGTCCCCTGCCTGTTCACCTCCTTGGCCTTAGCCTCGCCGGGGCCCACCAAGGAGCACCCCCACCTACCCCCATCTCACCACATGGCCCCGAGAACCGAGGGGAATGCCTAGGTGACAGCGCCATCAATGGCTCCTGTCACCAGGCTCCCTCGTGGGATCAAGGCCAACGACCAGTCATGGGTATCACGCATAATTCCAGTCACTTGCTTTAACATGGCCTTGGGATGGAGAAAGCTGGAGTGGGGGCTGGGCAGGGGGCAGTCCCAAGGGACCCACAGGCCCTGGGGTCAGGGACTTGAGCCCCAGCTCCACCGACCAGCCCTGTGGGCACACACAGCAAGTGACCTCGGCCTCAGTTCCCTCCCCGGTAAAATGCACAGTCGAGGAGACTGAGGAAAGCAGGACCCCCCGGATGGGTTGCATGTAAGGGGGCCTGGGAGAGGCAACGCCGCCCCTTACCCTCCCCGCACCTCAGGTTTCCTGTCTGTAAGGCCCCTTTCAGCTCTGCCACACCGGGCTGGGGTGCCCTGTATGAATATGATCCCGGTCCCCATTATCCTTTATTCCCATCTTGAGCTGATGAGGAGCTGGGCCGCCTCCTTTCCCCAGCTGACACAGGGACTGGGTAGCATAGCCCAGATTGAGAAGGGAATAGCACAGAGAGAGGAAATGCCTCCTTGAGGCAGCTGTGTGACCCTGGGCAGACATCCTGACCTCTCTGATCTTCAGCCTCCTTCACTGCAAAGTAGGACTACCGGGGCTGGCCTTGCTGATTCCCTCTCAGTGATGGATGGTGCACCGCTCACAAGAGCAGCTTGGAGGGGCTGGTCCATCCTGGACTCCCTCACCAGTGCTCACCGCGTGGCCGTCCACAGGAAATGAGGGGCATTTGGCCGGGCTGTAACTGCCTTTCCGGGAACGACGCTCCCGTCATTAGGCAGGTGGGTCCTTCCTCTTTAACAGAATAATATCCTTCATGATGTTCAACACCAGCGGGGAGTGTGGGCGTGATCTCGAGCCCCTGTCCAAGTCCCAGCCTGCTTCCCCTGAAGAGAAAGTCCTCGGGACGGGTGGGGGGAAGGTCCACCAGGCCCAAGAGCCACAGAGCCAGGACCTGGGCGGCCCCGGGTCGCTGCCCACCGCGGCCGTAAGGGCAGTATTTCAGGTGTGGCTGGGGAGGCAGGGCCTGGCTACAGCCTCCTGCCCCAGCACAGCCTTCTCTGCCACTCACAGGCCCAGGACAGGACGGGACAGGCAGCCACTCACCGGACGCCTTCGTTGAGGCTGAAGAGCTCCTGGTCAGGCAGCCCCTTGCGCTGGAAGACGGCGATGACCCCGTTGTGGATGCTGCGGGCGGGAGAAAGACGAGGGTCATCGAGGCCCTGCCACCCCTCCCCACCTGACCTCTCCTGCCCTACTTGGCTCAAGGGACAGAAGCGGGTCTGGTCAGAAGCAGGTGCCCATCTTTTCTCTTGTAAGGCAAGCCCTGGAGAGCAGGGGTCGGCTGTCCTCATGGGACCCTGTCCCTACCAAAACCTTAGTCCCCACCTCGACCCCAAGATCTACATCCCTAGCCCCAGCCTCCCCAGAGCCCCGGGCCTGAGTCACCTCCGAGTCACCTCTCCAGGATGTCTTCTGTGGCCTGCACACACTCTGCTCCCCTTCCTGTGTTCGGGAATCTTCTGTTCCCAAGGGTACCCTTTGATCACCTGTCCCACCCTGTAACGTATCCCACCCTGACACTCACCATGGGCTTCCAGGTGCCCCTGAGCCGGCCCTTCCTGACTCCTAGTGTCCCTGAGCACTGAACGCTCATGCTCTGTGCCCCACTGGGAAGTGGCCTCCAGCCACAGGGCCTTTGCACATGCCAATTCTGCTGGCTGGTCCTCACCCACTTCCATTATCTATTCCCTTTAGATCACACACTGTTGCCAGTTTTTCTGGACCATCACTGTGTAACCATGTTTCTGTGATCTGGTTAACTTGTTTCCATCACTGTCTGTAGACCCCAAGAGCACAGAGCCTCGTTGTTGGAGAAACTTGTAAGCATTTGGGGAAAATTCATTCTTGACTCTCCCTCACCCTCTGAAACCAACCGACCCTGAGGTCAGATCCATTTCTACCTCCTGGAGCTCCGCTGCGGCCCTCCCCTCCCCTCTAACCAGGGCCCCTCCTTGCATGCCTGGACCTGATCCTACCAGCCTGCCTCCTGGTTGCCCCCAGTCACTTCCCTGACCAGGGTCTTGTGAGGAACCCGACGCCTGCAGATATAGCCCGAGGCCTGGACATGGCATTTGAGGCTTGTCAGGAACGGCCTCTCCCTGCATTCCGGGGGATCTTACACTCCGAGAGTGCTGGACTGGCCAGAGGCCACTATACCTCTGGATTTCTGCACCCACTGCCCCTTCCGTCTGGAAGGCCCTTCTCCTCCCTGTCTACAAGGTAAGCAGCTGTTCATATTGAAGACTCAGCTCAGAAGCCACTTCCTCCAAGAAGCCCTCCTGACCCCTACCTTTCCCCAGGGAGACTCCTATCCTGGCACTTTGCTGATTCACTTTCCTATCAGCACCCCGCCCTCCCTTGGCCACACACTTCCGAGGGCAAGAACCAGGTCTGGGTGGCTCCTCCGCCCTCCACCCAGGCCCTAGGCACCGCTCTGAAGGTCACAGACCCACTGCCATGACTCTCAGTGTGGAGGGAACAGCTGGGCGCGTGCTGCCATTCCCATCGCAGACCAGGCAGCAGCCACCAGGCTCCCAATGCCCTTGGCATTAGCTCTGCCCTTCCCAGGAACGCAGACTGGTCCCCCACTTCGCAGACGGGGAGACAGAGGCTCACAGAGGCCATGTCTCCTGCGGGAGGGCTCAGAGCTCCTCATCCAGCAGCTGCCCCCTGTTCCCAAGCAGCGGGGTCTGAGCCCGGCTGGGGCAGGACCCTGCACACCCCCACCCCCTCCCAGGGGCATGAGCAGCGAGGGTCCTCCAGCAGCTGTCACGCTGGAATTCGAGCAGCTGCAGGCTGACTCCCAGCCCTGTGGGGGCTGCTGAGGGGCAGGAGGCACAGGGCAGTCCTGGTCACCGCCCTGGGGCCCAGGGGCCCAGACCCTCCTGAGGTGCAGCGGGGACCAAGGACAGAGGCCCTGAGGTGGGAAGAAGCCTGGGCAGGAGGCGGCACACACAGCTGCTCCTAGCAGCCCTGCCCCCGCCTTCCTCCTCTTCCAGGCAGACTGCCAGAGGGACCCCAGCCCAGAGGTGACCCTGCACTCTGTGGCTTTGGATGGTGAGGCCGGCTCTCTGACCCTCAGAGAGTCACATGTGTCAGCCCCTCCTGCCTTGGGCCTTTGTCCTTGCTGTCCCTTCCCCTGTAGGCTTGCCCTCCACCCGCTCCCTGGACCTCAAACCCTCCCCTGGCCCCTCCAGGCTGGACCCTCCTCCCTCACAGCTGAGTTGCAGAAAAAAATTGACCTCAGTGGTCTTTTAGGGGAGGGGTGATCTATCTGGTTGACTATTTTGCCCCCGTCCTTGACCCCCAGGCTCAGCGCATCAGCTGATAACCTCCCTTTGACTCTGGCCAACACCCATGTCTAAGCAGCCTCTGGCCCAGCCCAGGGGCCACCCTGAGATCCGCCGTCCCCTCCCCGCCCACCGTGAACGCTGGCCACCTGTGCCTCGGCTTCCCCACGCACACCACGGATTCTGAACTCCAGTGCCCAAAGGAGACGGTGCCCGGCAGTGGGGTGCCCCGCGGGTGACACTTACGGGGGCATCTTTAGCTTGTCTCCGAGGAGGGGTGTGTCCCCAGCAGCTCCCACCACAGCTCAACCATCCGCTCTGTGGTTTTCTCAGTCTCTCCCTTCTAACCACCACACAGGGGGCCTGTCACACCCGAGGCTACGGAAGGAAATGACGAGGGTCTGGGGAGCCAAGAACTGCCTAGAGTCCCAAGAGCATGACACCTGGCAGAGCCCGCGAACCTGGCCCGTGGTCCTCCTACCCCGGTCGCTGGCTCGGAAACTGCCTCCCTCGCTGCCCCGGCTGGACGGGCCCTGCTGCCTCCATTCCTCCCCGGACTGGGGCTGAGGTTCCCCTTCTGTCCCAAGTCCAAGTTGGGCCACCAAAAAAAAAAAAAAAAAAACCCCAACAAAACAACTTGCTGTGAGCCACTGGGGGAGAGGAAGGGTGGGGAGCAAGAGGCCCGCATGTGACTTCTCTTTCCCCCCAGCCACCCGGATCTGTGGCCTCCCGACAAGAGGTGGGCAGGACCGGCGTGGGCACTGGCAGATGGTCCCGAGGAAACCACAGGCAGCCTCCAAAGGCACTTCCGGGTGAGACCTGTGGCCTCTCCCCACTGGGCTGTCCTTTGCAGAGCCTGTCCCCCTCCCCTGTGCTGAAGGACAGGAGGGCAGGGCCGAGTCCCAGAGTCTCTTCACTGGGCCCCAGGTGGGCCTGGAGCAAAGAGGAGAAGGTGCCAGAGCCCTGGTGAGGCTCCAGGGCATCCCTGGAGTCTGTGGCCCAGGAAGGGGGTGGGGCATTGCCAAACTGGGAGAGGGAGGGCTCACCGTAGGGCTCCTGGGGGCGCCTGCCTGTGGTCACCCTGGTTTGGGCCAGAGCCTGTGTGGGGTGGTGGGCTGAAGGAGACACCGTGTGGGCCTCTGGCCCAGCAACACTTTTCTCAGGGTTGCCCACCCAGCCCTACAGGAAGCCCCAGCAGAGGCTGAAGGGGTTGGGCCCACCACAACGCCTGGCCTCTGGTCAGGTCAGCTGATATTACCTCTGGGGACCCTGGAGAGGGTTAGGCTCCTGGGAGGACCTGGAAGCAGAGCCCTGCCTTCTCTGGTGCCTTCCTCAATGTGGACACGGCCTCCAGAGGCCTCAGATGACACACAGAAGGGGGCAGGCCTCTGCCAGGTGACCCCAGAAGGCCAACCTGGACCCTGAGCAGGGCCGCCACCTCCTTGGGCCCCTCCCCCTGGTGTTCAGGCCTGGTGTGTCCCACCGGCTTCCTAGCCAGCAGTCCCTGCGAAGGGACAGCCATACGAATGAGGAAGGGCAGGGGACCTGGGTGCCACCAGGTTCCCGGGGCCACCCAGGCTCCTCCACCCCACCTGACAGCTGAGGCTCTAGTCCCCCCGTCCTATCTGAGGGTGACCGGATGGAGCCCCAGTGTCTTCGCCAAGGGATGAAGGGGGGCCCACCCAGCTTTGCTGTAGCCACCCCCGGAGCAGGGCCCATGGCTTCCTCTCTACGTCCAAGTGAAAGGCACAGGAGGTACACAACTTGCAAGCCGACTGTGCCCCCTGGCCAGGCCCCGATGGGACCCTCTAGTGAATAGGGTGACGAAGGGATTTCCAGCCCCGTGTCAGCTCCATGGGCTCCTCAGCAAACGGGTCCCACTCACACCCGGGTTTCAGTCTGCCTAGCTTCGGATGCTCGTCCCCAGTGCTAACAGGGTTCCTGGCTGAGCAGGAGGGGTCCGTGCCCACCCACACCCCTCCCTGGGCACCCAGCAAGGGCCCTGACCCGTGCCAGTCCTGACTGCGGAGGGGACAGTGCAGTGCCCCCTTCCCAGCTGTGAGGTCGGTCCTGGGCTGGGGTGTGGGAGGTGGTGGCCCAGGGCACTCGGTGGTGCAGGAGGAGGGAGGGAGCAGGGCGGAGGGGGGAGGGGTGTCAGCATCACAAATTCTACCAACCTAGTGGCTTCAAACGACCCAGATGTGTTTGCTTTCCTTTCTGAAGGCCAGGAGTTCCAAACCAGCTTCACGAGGCTAAACTCAAGGTGTTCTGTGACTGGCTCCTCCTGGAGGCTCTAGGGGAGAATTTGCTTCCTAGCCTTTTCCAGCTTCTGGAACCACCCACGTGCTTGCCTCAGGCCCCTTCTTCTACGCTCACAGGAAGCGCCGTGGCACCCTGGCTCTCCCTTCCCATCCCGCCACCTCCTCCCCGACTCTGAGCCCCAGGCCTCACTCTCGGGAAGACCCTTGTGACCACACTGGGCCCCCACCGTGAGACCCTTCACGTCATCATGTCTGCAAAGTCCCTTTTTTGCCTTTACCATAGTCGCAGGTTCCGGGGGCCGAGTGTGAACATCTTTGGGGCCATTCCTCTGCGGACTCCACCCAGATGGCCCCAGCGGGGCCGGAGGCTCAGGGTCCAGAGCAGCCACTAGGCAGGGATGGGGTACGGGGAGCCAAGCCCAGGCCCCTGGCAGCCTCCAACCCCTACCCCCAACCAAGGGATCACCCGGGAGCCTCCACCAGCCCCTCAGAGACCCTCCCCTGAGGTGGTGGCAGACATGCAGGCTTTGGAGCTGGACCTGGGTTAGATCCCAGCTTCTGCCCAGACTCCCTGTAGAGACCTGCGCTGGTTCCCAAACTTCTCGGAGCCTCAGTGTCCTCGCCTGCAAAATGGGGCTGCTGAGCCCCACCTTGAGGGCCGCTGGGGAATGACAGGAGCGCCTTCAGGTCTGGCGTTTGGTCAGGGCCCCTCACTAAGTGAGTGCAGAGCTGGGGGTGGGGGCTAGCATTGCTGGAATCAGGCAGAACATTCTCATTCTGTAGGGGTTCCGCAGGCGGCCCCTGCCCAGGGCAGGGGAATGCCCACAAGGCAGCTGCCGCCAGCCTTCAGGTTCTTACCACCAACACCCGCCTCTCTTGGTCCCTGAGCCGTGACCTCAAGTCAGACCTGGGGTCATACCCCCAGACCCTGACATTAGTATGGGGTCTTTTTTTTTTATGATAATTCTTTTATGTAGTTACCTATTTATTTATTTACTTTTAGGGTGCGGTCTTGAGCAAGTCCTTTCCCTGGAGCTGAAGACCATCACCCCTGCCCTGGAGGGAGGCAATGGGGACGGAGGGAGTGTCCCACGCAGGGCAGTGTGCGTGGCACAGCACAGGCCCACACTCCCCCTGCCTGGGGTCTCCCCTCCCACACCTAGAAGCTGGGACAGATGCCGGGCCTGGAGAGCCCGGAGCATTCAGGCCTGGCGGGGAACGAGAGTCAACATGAACTCCATTAACAGTTAACACCTCTGGCCTAAACACGAGCCCAGGGGACCTGCACTGGGCAGGCCTTTTGGACTGAGGTTTGGGAAGCTCCCTCTCTCCCCTCAGCTCAAGAGCATAACCTCCACGGAACTAGTGGCCCCACCCCTGCACGGGGTCCAGACCGTGTCAGGAGCTAACTGGGGCGGCCCAGGAGGAATGCATGCCCAGAGCGCCATGTCCCGGCCCTTGATGGAGGTGGGGGGGGAGCTGCAGGTGGGAACAGCCTGTCTGAGGCCCTGTGCTTGGCTTGGCTCAGGGGACAAACCCGCCCAGCAGAGAAGGGCTGAGGAAACAACTGTGCCTGGCAGCCAGCACTCACTCAAACACTTCCCGTTTCTGCACCCCCGGAATCGAGATCCTGGAGGAAAGAATGACAGCACTCACCTGTTTCCCAGTTTATCTTCTCCTGGGCACTAAATGCGACCTGCAGTGACCTCATCCCTTTACCTGTGTCCCTGTTTTATCTCCTGACTCCCTCCCCCAACTCAGGAAGCTGTTCTTTCTCTGCTGACTCTTGGCCCCAGAAGCCGCCCAGTGCCAGGGAGCATAGGAGGGAACGAGGGAACAAATCACAGGGATGAATGTCTCAGTGAATGCACGGATCTCTTTCTCACGAGAGCAAGCCTTGTATGTTGGCCCCATGTCCAGATGAGGAAAGACGCACAGGAAATTAGTGGATGCACCCAGGGTCACTGTGGTGGGCTGAATGGGGTCCCCGAGAAATTCGTGTCTACTTTGGAAACAGGGTCTCGCAGATGCAGTTAGGTAAGGATCCTGAGATGGAATCGTTCGGGATGAGGGTGACCCCAGAGCGAATGACTGGTGTCCTTCCAAGAGAAAAGAGAGGGAGTTTCGATCACAGACCCAGGAGAGGCCACGTGAAGACAGAAGCAGACTGCCACAAGCCAAGAAACCACCAGAAGCTGGAGGAGCAGAAGGCTACGGAGGGAGCATTGTCCCGCTGACGCCTTGGACTCCAAATGAGGAGTGCCCAGCTCAGCCAGGCGGGCCCTGAAGACGAATGAGGCTGTCCTGTATGAGGGCTGTTGTCCTGCCCCGCCTGGGGCACTGCAAGGAGGGGTGGGCAGGCAGAGACCAGAGTGGACCCCCAGCCCCACACAGCTCCCACTCAGGGAAGGGCAGAGGAAGGCGCCCTGCCTCTCCTTGGCTCGGCACCCTCTGTCTGGAGAGGAGAGAGCAGCGGCTCGCGCCTTACCGTGTCCTACGTGGGTGACACTAACATGGGCAGGTCTGCTGGGAGCTCTGTGTCCCCTTCTGCACCTTCAAAGGGGAGATGAGAGAAGTAACTCCCTCTCTGGGCTAAGGGAACCATGGGACCTAAAGGCGTCGGGAGCATAGGAGAAGTACAAGATGGGAGAGGCCAGGTGCGGAAGGGATGGAAGACTCAAGCAGGGGGAGGAAACGTGTTCTTCTGAAGTCTGGCAGGTGCTGTTTCTAAATGCCATTAAGTGAAAAGCAGTGGAGGGACTCAGGTGGCCTTTTTCTGCAGTCCCCTCCCAGAGCTCCCCAAGACTCAGAGCTGGCCCCAGGGTCACAAGGGCAGGGGGCTGTCTAAGCCCTTGAGCCGGTGCCCTCCCTCTGTCTGCCCCCCCCCCCCCCCCCCCCCCCCCCCCCCCCCCCCCGTCCCTACCATGTGCTGGGCACTGCGAGGAGGGCTTGAATATGTATGTTTGCATTTAATCCCTACAACAGCCCCTGAGGCGGACACCCTTATGAGCTCGTTTTATGGCTATGGAAACTAAGGCCCAGAGAGGCTGATTGACTTGCTCAAGGCCACACAGTGGGAAAGAGGCGGAGCTGGAAACTGAACTAAGTCTGTTTGGCTACCACGAAGCGAAAGCAGAGAAGTGTGTGTGTGTGTGTGTGTGTGTGTGTGTGTTGGTGTGGGGAGGGGATCAGCATCTATCTCCTGAATTCTGAGACAGGAGAAATCAACTCTTGGGACATTGTGCAGTCAGTGGGTCACTGACATTCTCCCGTGACAGACCTTCCTTCACTGTCTCCACATCGGCTCTGTAAGGAGGGATGCACACACCCACTGACAGGGAAACTAAGGCAAACCCAGCCACAAGCAGTCTGCAACCTGGTAGGGGACAGAAGCCAAGCACATGGATGATGGGGTCCTGCCTAGTGCCCAGACAAGGGTCTCAGGTTGGTGGCCCTGTGTCCACTGGGATGCTCAAGAAACTCTCCTTGGGTGGCCACATGGACAGCCGGGTTCCTGGGGGCCAGGACCACAGCCAGTGGAGCATCTGGCAACAATTCCCTGCCAGGTGTGTGTGTGGGGGGTGCGGCATTCACAGCCCCCTTGAACAGCCTCTTGCTCTGTGCCCCACCCCTCCCTTTTCCTTTTGGTGGAAATGTCTACTTTGAAAAGGGATCAGGAACAGACACGCTGGGGAATCCCACTACATAAACCATCTATTTTCCGGATCCCAGCCTCGCTCTTCAAACAAAGCTTGGGGGTGGGGGGACTTCCCACGCCCCTGCTAGTCTGGGAAAGGCCCCCAGGGGGGAGGGTCGTCTCAGGAATGCCAGGCAGCTGCTGCACCCCTGCTGACAGCTGGGAGGACAAGGGGCCGCTCAGGGGAAGCTACCCGCCCACCTCCCTCCGACCAAAGGGACCTTTACTCGGAGACAGGAAGCGCAGCGGCCACCCACCGACTGCGCCCTTGAGGCTCATCTGCTCATCTGCGAAATGGGAAAAACACTTCCTGCTCGATTTCCCTCCCAGATGGCCACGAGCACCGGGGCGCAGACGTGGGAAGACCCCCGGGTGCGAGGCAAGCACGCGGGTTCCAGGCCCACCCCGTCGCCCACCAGCTGGGCGCTGCAGGACGAGTCCCAGAGTCCGCGGTCTCGTCCCTCCCTTCCAGAAACACGTTACATTAAACTTCCCTGTCCGCCCGCACAACTCCCGCGGAGCAAGTTCTTTGCTAACTGCGAAGTAGCGCGGCGCTCAGGGCTTCATTCCTCGCGCGCGGGCCGGACAGAAGGCTCCCTCTCCCCGGGCTCTGAGATCCCGGGCCCGCCGGGCGGGCCCGGAGGGTGCGGCCTTACCTGTTCCAGGTGGCGTTGGCGCAGGCCCGGCGCTGCTGCGTGCCCCGCTCGTCCGCGCCGGCGATAGCCGGCTCTCTCTTGCCCAGGTCACTGAGGCTGGGCGAACTCATGAACTTCAACCTGCGGAGAGTCCTCATGGTGACCCCGGCGGCCCGCTCCGCGCCCACGCGCGCCCGCCGCCGCGCCCTGCGCCACGCCGCGCCGCGGGCCCCGGCCGGCACTGCGCCCTCTACGAGGAAACTTGGGCGAGAGCAGGAAGCCGAGCGGCCCTCCGGGGTCCCGCCCCGGCCCCGCGCCTCCGCCCCGGGCCCCGCGCCGGCTGGCCCGCCGGGTTAATCATTGCTCTGAGCGGCCGCAGCGTGGAGCGCCAGAAGCGCGGCCGGCAGCGCGGACCCGGCGCAAACGGAGGCGGGGGCGGGGCCGGGGGGCGGGGCCCGGTCCGGGGGCGGAACAGGGGCGGTCGAGGGGCGGGGCGGGAGAGGAGGCGTGGCTATGCCGGGCCGAGGCGGGGCCTCAAGCAAAGGGGTGTGGTCAGGGGCGGGGCCTTGAGGGCGGGGCCACTAGTGGGGACGGGGTCTGCGCCTCTTTGGCCATGGCCGCCCCAAAGCCCCCTAGGTGTCCACTTCCGGGTCAGGCTTGGACCCCCCCGGGTCTTCCGAGGGCCACCTATGCCCCCAGGAAACCAACACGCATGGGACGCACAACCCAACCCCAAGCGTCCTCCCTGAGCCGGCCACCGCAGCCACAAGCACAATGCTCAGGGACTCCTTGCCCCACCCTATGCCCAGACCGCCTTTGCCAATACTTCACCCATAGTCACCCCCTCCTGGCCATCCCCACAAAGGCTGTGCCCACGCGGATCCCTCCAGACCCTGCCACGTGAACGCAAACTCCTCCCAGTTTCTCTCAGGAGGTGGAGACCTCCTGAGCCCTTTGGGCACGGGGCCAGGACCCCACCCCACCGAAGCCCAGCCTGGGCATGACAAGTCACCCGCCAGACTGGGGCCTGGGGGGATCACCAGTGGCCTCTCCATCGCAGAAACCAGCAGAGCTGGCGCTCCACCCACCCCTCCAGGTATCAGGGATGGCAGAAACAAGTGGGTCCCCTAAGACTCAGTGGCTGGGGACAGTGACCCCAGTGAAGGGCGGGCACAGCCTTGGCGCTCTCCACGCTTTACAGAGCACTTTTAGATGTTTGGCCTCAGGCCAATCTCCCTCTACCAGGTAGGAATTCTGCTATTTATTTATTTATTTATTTTGAGTATCGATACAGAGGTGGGAATGCTTCTTCCCATTCCCCAGTGGAGGAGATGAAGCCTAGAAAGTGAGAAAACCCCGCCCAGCACCTACAATCAGCAAATGGCAAAGTTGGGCCAACGCAGGCCTCCTAAGCACAGGGCGCAGGCACGCAAACAGCCCCTCCCAGACCCCCCCCCCCCAACCATCAGACAGGGCCCCACAGCATCGCTGCCCTCATCCTACCTCCTGGACAGTCCCTGGGGCCGTGCCTGTGCTGATCACGGTCTGCTGGCACCACAACCCCTGCTCCCTTGTCTTCCCATAGACACTTCCCCTGTAAATCAGTGGGGAGAAAGGAGCGGCGGATCCTCGAATCTCAGCAGACGGTGGAGGCTCAGAGGCCATCCCCCCCACCGTGTCATACAGAACAGGGAACTGAGGCCCAGAGGCCCCGGCTCCTTTATGCCAGAGTATGTGTTTCTCCTGCTGCCTCTTAATGGCAGAACCAAAGTGCCCGCCCCCTGAGAAAGGGGTTCCTTCCCTTCCCTGGGTGGGGGCTAGCTCATTCAGTCTGATGCGGTGTAGAGACAGGAGTCAGCTTGAAGGAGGCAGTGGTGAGGCCTGGCTCAGCCTCCAAATGGAAGCTCTTTTCTGCCGAATGTTCCAGGAGGCGTGGTTTGCCAGGGTCAGGCCAAGCAGCAGATGGGCTGCTTTTCATGGCTTCGAGGGCCAAGAAAGCCCCGTATGAAGGGTATGAGAACCTCACAGGGACACATGGCCCGGTTAAAGTCAATTGGCATTTCCCAAGCCCCTGCTGTGGGTCAGACATGACCCTCACCCTAGGGAGGCAGGGTCATGACCATCAGACTCCCCGCCCTGAGCTCAAAATTCGACGGAGTGGAGACCAGAGACCGTGGACTCCCGCAGAGCCCGTCATCCCCAAGGCAGAGACTTGCACGGCCTGGTGTGAGCGGACAGGCCAGGAAGGACTGAGCTGGCCCCTTCCTTACCCTTGGGGGTTTCTCACCTCTTTAGAAACACCCGTGGAGCCTGTATGCTCCCTCCACGCCCATCCACCTGCTGGGCCGGGAACCACACACCTCCCTCGCTGCCGGTCATCTCCTCCTTCTCCGGCTGCCTCCACCCTGGGTTAGGCTCCAGGGTTGCCCTCTGGTCATTTGGGGAATTTGCCGCCCTAGTGCCATGAGCCAGGAGGGCAGGGACTACTAAACTGGGTCAGCACTACGTTCCCAAACCCGGCGCGCAGTAGAAAGGCGGCGCTGATTGAGGAGAAGGGACAGTTAAACATCCGTGCACAGGAGCGGAGGGACGACGTTAGACCATAGGAAGGCAAATGCTCTGTTGACCCCGCCGGACGCACGGAGGCAGAGCCACGGTAGCCACCAGCGGGGCAAGTGGGGCGGAGCAAGGCTGTGGGGTTGGACTCTGGGTGGGACGTGATGTATGGTGGTTTCCCAAGCCAGGGGGGAGAGGGCTGGCTTTGTTTGCTGGGCACGCTCAGGTGGGTGGGCTGGCGGCCAGTCTGGCAGCAGGGGCCAGCTCGATGTGGGAGGGAGGCGGACCCCTCTGGATGAGAAATTAAAGGGAAAATGGGTGGCATGTGGGTAAGGGCAGCCCAGAGGGGGAGGTGGGAGGAAGGGAGAGGAGGAAGGGCTGAGGGGGGTCTTGGTGGAAAGGGGGCTCTGGGAGCCCTGGTGGAGAGCAGCGTTCTGGAACAAGGGGCCAGCAAGAAATTCTAGAGGTAGGGATGGCCGAGGGCCTTCAACCCTGTCTGCTGGTCTGTGTTAAGGACATTTGCTGTCACCGTGCCCTAGCCCCAGCTGAGGACCTCCATGAAATAGCCCAGAGTCAGTGTGTATAGGACACTCAGGTGAAGGGGACGCTGCCCTGGGTTTGGGCAGGTGAAAGGCAGCGAGGGGTACAGGGATATGGGGGTGGGGCTCGACAGCCCAGGGGAGCAGCCAACCCCCGGGGCTGGAATCTGAGGCTGAGGCCAGGAAGAGACAAGACCGTTCCGATCCCCCAGAACAGGGGACAATGGGGTGGCCACAAACTGAGCCAAGCCCCTAAATGGATTCTGCACAGCCTGCAGTGCGGGGGAAAAACAAAAACCAAAAACTGTGTGCAGCCAAGGTTTTACAATGGAGAGATTGACATAGAAACCCTGATTTCTGGCTTCCTGGGAAGCATCAGATGACCGGGCCTCCTGGGCCCGAGGCCCCACATGACAGCCCTTGCTGAGCTGCTGCCCCCGCAGGCAGGCAGAGGGGCTCTGGGCGCCCACCAGGCCCTCCACTTGCTTATGGGGACTTCTGGGCCTGATGAGCGGGTGGGGACTGAGTAACTATATTGCAAGGGTGGCCCTGGGCAGGGTCCATCTGCGCCAAGACTCACAGGAGGGAAATGCCCTCTGTGAAAGGGATTGGGAGACTGGGGTTCCAGTCCCCCACACTCAGAGTACCCTTGCTCTGGACCCATGCCAGGCCAGATAGCTCCAACCGTGCCCTTTCTTCCCCCAGGACTGGAGCTTTAGTCGTCCCTCGCACCCACCAGTGGGGTGTCAGGAGTTGGTACAGGGCCCTGGTCACCTGGCAGAGGGACCCCAGGACTTGTCCTTCTGATGGCACAGAGAGCCCTCGATGGAGCAGCCGGACCTGGGGTCCGCCAGCCCTGCCACCAAGTCAGGTGATTCCTAGGCCTCAGTTTGCCCATCTGTAAGATGGATGGGCTTGGGGGTGAGGAGCTTCGCTGCACCAAGCCCCCACGGGTGCATGTGAAGGATGGGGACTGAGAACCACAAAGTCCTTTGGGGGCCACGTGCTCCCACATACGTGGCCAGAGATGGGGGTCCAGGTGTCTTTGAGGTGCACGGTAGGACTGTGCCGAGGGCCTGGCCCTAAGGTTTTGTCTTTACAGGAGAGGCACTGGGACCAACAGTGACCTGTGGGAGGGGCCTGGCCCCCGTCCTCTGGCTCATGGCACTGAGACTTTGGATCAGAAAGAGCCATGGGGTTTGTCCTGCTCCTGCTGGGAACCTCAGTCAGGATAATTGGGGGCAGGGCCTGGGGATGACTAACGAACATCTGAGGGGACTCTCATGGTCCCCTGGACTCCGCGAACTCCTAAGCCTGGCTCAGCCCCTCACTTCCCAGACGGGCAGTCCGGCACGTGGCACGGAGGGCAGGAAGTGCTCGCAGGTCTGCTCCCCGGGGCCTCCAGACGTCGAGTCCACCAGGGTGAGCTCTGGAGCTCGGGGACGCCAGCCTGTGTCCGTGGGCCACCCGGAGCGGGGAGTCAGCCCAGCCCCACACAGCCGGGTCCGAAGGGGGCCCAGGGCCCGGGGCAGCCACTATAACTGTACCGTGTCCTCCGGGGCCATCTAGGCTGGGGGAGAGGCACATGCCCGCAGCCCCAGTCAGCAAGTGGCAGAGAGGAAGTGGGAGCCAGGCCAGCCTGGGGGGTGGGGGTAAGGGGTGGACGGCTGCCAGCTCTGTCACTGCCACCAACGCTGTCCTCAGTCGCTCGCGCCTTGCCCACTTCCAGGCACCGGCCGCTGGGGGGGCACGTCTGCCCCCTGGTGGCGAAGCCTGGTGCTTTCCGAAGCCGGCTGGGACCGCGCCTCCTGCCCGCTGGGGGTCTTGGACGCAGGGAGCCAAGGCCATGGGAGGAGTGCGCGGCTCATTCCTCGCTTCTCTGGGGTGGACAGGGATGGTGACACGTCTGCCTTGCGATGGGGTGAGGTGAACGGGACAAAGCACGTCACCATGGGGGTTCTGTAACGGCTCCGATTAGGGCCGCGCGGCAGAATGGGATTCCCGTCAGAGCTGTGATGCCGGCTGCCTCCAGCATCGCCCATGGTTCTGCTGGTCATCCCTGAAGGGCTTGCAATGTGCTGTCCTCAGTGACTGTCCCGAGGCTGGACAGCTGCTCGTCATCCCGGGCTGGATGGGCAGCAGAAGTGACACCTGTCGTCTTCCATGAGTGGGGGGACCTCACAGAGACTCCCACTTGCCAAGCCTGGGGCCGGTGGGTCCTTTGTTCAAGCTAGTCCAGAGGAAATGTGCCTCTGGTGGCCTTAGAGCCAGGCTCAACTCTCAATACTCCCACTTCACAGATGGGG